TTTATCTCAATCACACAGTCATTGCATAATTTATAAAAATTTCTTTAGTTAATTCAAGAAATTCAGAATGATATCGTGACAGCAAATATTTTATATATAAAAAATAAAAATCTCTTAAATACTTGTGCTGTAGTGACAGGATGGAGTGAACAAAATCCAGCTGAGACGACTCCTTACATAGTGAAGTCTACTGTAAAATTCTTAAAAAACAGTAAATGTAGAGATGAAATTACAAATTTGGCAAAACAATCCGTAAATATTGAAGAAGCATACATTTGTACATATGCGCGTCCTTATGTTATAATAAATTCCGTAAGTATTGAAATACAAATATCATCTAATACTTGAAATATTTTTTATATTTAATAATATATATATATATATATATATATATATATATCAATATAACGTTTATTAGCAGGATATGTAAAGATTGCAAAAAAATAATTATGATAATAATTCACAAAATATAATATTACTTTTTAGGGTGATTTTGGTGGACCACTTATATACCGAAATCGAATAATTGGTATCAATAAAGAAACTCTTCCTCAAATGGATGGTAATTTTCACCCAAGCAAAATCAACATCCACACGAGTATTTTCCCCTACAGACAATTCATTGAAGATGTTACAAGTAGTCAATTTCTTTGGTACTAAATGATGAATTCCTAAAAGCATAATTAAATACATTTAATAATATAGTTGTTTTATATTGAGTTTAACATAGCATTTTTATATTTATACATCTTATTCAACGAAATACAATTTGTAAACGAATAGTTTCATAGGAATTGCACTCATTTGATATGCTGTTGATAAATGATAAAATTTTTTTAAATTAAGTATTAATATTTTTCAAATACCTAGGTAATTTTCATTTCATAAATATGAGGATAACTATTTCTAACTAACTACTTCTAATTAACTCTTGATATAAATATCAGCTAATATTGTTATTGAAATAAAAGTCAATCGATTCCACACAATATTAATTGAAATTTTCCTCGTAATTTTCGAAATAGCATAAATATTTCATACGGAATTCATTTAATCTGACTTATCGATAATCTAACTTTACGACGTTTTAAAATAATTTTAGAGACAATAATAATTTGAAGTTGTAGTTAATACGAAAATAATATTTTTGAGATTTTTAATTAAATAGGTGCTTAATTAGCCTTTTTCATGAGAATAATAGGAAACTTACCGATATGATAACCGATGATAACCGAATTCTCAATTGATATAAATATTGTAATAATTTTGGGACATTAACAAAATAACCTGTTTACAATGACCAAATAAATATTCATTGAAGTAAAGAAAATTATGATTTTCATTATATGTATGTGTAAAATTGACGACACGCGTAATTAAATTAGAAAGGATTAAATTGTAATTTATTGCGTATTTATGGCTTTCAATTATGTAAAGATAACATAAGTGTGTTATTCATCACTTGGATACCATTTTACCGAAAGTAACTCGAAAGCTAAGACTAACCAATTAAAGACGAGAACACTGCTCTTTAATTGCATCATATTTTTTATAAACATAGTACAAATTAATTGTTGTATACAAATTATATCGGCGTTAAGCAGCTTAGTTATACAATTTAAGAATTAAATATTTAAAAAGGACTTTACTCGTTAAATAAGACGAGCTTCTCAAGCATGTTTACGTAAAAAATTACACTGCTATCGAATATCGCTTCCATTATCTATAAATTATACTATTTATTATTAATGATATCTAGATAAATAATTCGGAATGTCAATCTAAAAGTTCTTCTCGGAGAATTTTCTCAAATATTGCACAATTACCAAACGATATTATAACCTAAATTATTAATGGCTAATAAACACATGTGTGCACGATTGTATCGAGAGTATCAATTACTAATTATTATGCTTTTGTGTTAATGATGCCGTATTTCGATTTAATTTGTCGTATTATGATTTAATCCAATTCGAGTGCGTATATAAAAGAAAAAAAAGTTAATTAATAAGTAAAGTATTATCGTCATTCAAAAAAGTAGCGAGATAATGTTCTATCGGTAAATTGAGAAAATGTTAATTATATTTGTAATTACGAATTATCGGGAATGTGACATTTAAATACACACATCGAAAAGTAAATGAAGAATATATGTGAAAAATAATACTTAAATAAATCTTAAATCAATAGACATAGAATGCAAAATTTATATTATTTCTTTACATCGAAATTGAATTCTATTCAATCTAAGTAATCTAACTTTTATTATTGACAATTATCATCGATGCTTCATTCGATGAATCCAATTTAAATCAAACGTATTCGAGATCGAATTGTATATCGATTTTAATTGAGTTGACAATTTTAACACGAACTTGCTTCTAATATATTCTTTTATCATGACTACAATTGATCGATGTGACATTGTGATTGTGTTAGAAACTAAATGTAACATCGAATCGGTAGTTTTCGATTATCGAACCAATGTCCGAGAATACTAATTTTAGTCCTTTATATATATATATATATATATATATATAAGTATATAATTAACCAAATTTTTCATTAATACTACTTAGTTTGAAAATGTTGTTAATACAGGGGAATATTATACGGTTTATATATCACATAGTTAGTCAAGGATTGTTTTAAAATATTCATATATACCATGTCACTTTTTAAAATAATAAATTAATTAAGTTTGTTTGCGAACAATAAATTTATTTGAATTTGTCACGATCGCTCGAAAGTATTAACGAAAATTTTATTCATTCTCATAATACTCTGACTAATACTAAGCCATGTAACGACATAATTTGATAAATGATATTAAAATAGAATTGTAAGTGTATGTAATCGGAAATGAAATTATGTTGTTTAAAACCTTTACAACGAAATTAAATTTAGTGTATTAAACTCAAAGTACATTTGGTATGTTGTTATCTAATTGTTAGACTACACTAACTGGAGACAAAGTTTACATCGGACCAATTGTATTATATGTTCCTGGTTTGGTTCTCATCAAATAAGTAAAAGCCAATATCGTCATCAGAGAATATCTTAATAATAGAATTTAGATTTAGGTTAGATTATAATAGTTTAACACGAAATTTATTATGTGCTATTAAAGGTAGATTTTTATGTAATATAACATTTAAGTTAAATATAGGCATTGTAAAAATAGAATTTATACAAGTTGACAGTATGTAATTAAATATTCATTAATATTAATTAATGAGGTTGTCATGTAATATAAATTATTTATAATAAATTAATATTGTAATCAGATACAAGATATAATTGTAAATTTATAAAAGTAAAGGCATTTGGTTGTAAAACAGTCCGGAACGATGATAAATTAAAGAAAAATTTCTACTTCTTATAATCGTTCATTATTGTTCACTATTGTTCATTAATCAGTAGTTTTATTACTTTACATTGTTTTATAAATAATAAATAATATATAATAAATGAAGAAAATGAAAGAATGTAATAATTCTAATAATTTAATATAATTATATAATTAGATAGTAGTAGCTTTAAAGTGTTACAATTTTTGACAGATTTGTCATTGAGAAAAATAATTATTTTAATTTTATTACTTAAATTATGTGAAGAAATATCGTTAGACAAATAACATGCGTTTTATGTTAAATAGATGATAAGAATATTCAATAAGACAAATAATATTATACGGTTATATCAGTTTCAAAGCTGTGATTGTCGATTTAAAGTTCAGTTGCGCATAAGACAAAAATTCTGTATTTTTATAGTTATTTTGCGAATTCTGAAAAATATAGAGTTTGTAATTGTCAGTAGAAGAGGATCGTTGCTTTATTCTGGATTAAGTTGAGGATCGATCAGGTTTTCTCAACGTCAGAACTGTAAAGAAGCTATTAAAAAGTCAATCAACACCTGTACATTATTAAATAAACATCTAAAACTGCAATAAAATCAACACTATTCAATTCAGCCCACACAAGTGTTGATATGCATAAATAATTCATAAACAATTCAATACTCTTGTATTATTTTAAACATTTAATTGTATATTTTATGTATGTTTAATCGTAACAATTTATAAATTAGATGATACATTTTTAAATAGAAAATGACATAAATTTAATTGTAAATTACTAGTGACATATTAATGATAAGGTATACTAAAACATTAACAAAATAATCATGTCTTCAATGTATATTCCATCCATCAAATATAAATTAGTTAAAAAATGACATTATCATTATGTATTAATATTGTTTTATTATGTATTTTTAGCATGGAATATAGAACTTTTTTATTTTTCAGCCAATGTATTTTACTTAGTAAGTGATGAACAATCCTTTTAATAGTGATTTATATTTATATTCATCTCGTGCTTTTATTAAAAATATAAGCTTTATATATTTGTGAAGTCTAATAAACACAATATAATTTTTATTTTAGTAAATCAATATAATTATGAAATTGTGGAAGCCATTATTGGAGAAAATGTTAGGGTGGCTAGAGAAGGAGAATTCCCGCATGTTGTCTCTTTAATGCATTACGCACCGGGATTTCGAGGAAGAGTGCATAAATATCATTTTTGTACCGGCACAGTCATTACGCAAAATCATATTTTAACTGCTGCACATTGCCTACGTGGTATGGCAAAGCACAAAACCGTAGTAGTTATCGGATCAATTAATACGAGATTAGGAACACCATACAAAATACAATGGTGGATAAACTATAATGAATGGGGACAATACAAAAATATAGAGGTTGAGTACAAAGTAAATGACGTTGCTGTTATAAAGGTAATTTGGTCTTTTGGGCAACAATTACAATAATTTAAAGCCTCTGCTTAACAAATTTGTCGAGCATTACAAGAATTTAACATATCAAATGACAATTATATTGATAATAGTACTTATGAGTAAGACATAGCAGTATAATAATAGTAAGTAAATGAAATAAAACAGATGAAAAAGAAGGAATTTTTTCAGTTAATAGAAGTCATACACGATTCGATTAAACCATACAATATTTCTTATCTATCCAATTCGGAATTTTATGGAGCATGTGCTACTATGGCAGGATGGGGTATATCAAATGATAACAATACCCCTGCCATTATGGAAACAGTAGAACTAAAAGTCTTATCAATTGCTGAATGTGAAGATAAAATTGAAAGACTTCATGGATCAAGAGTTCCAGTTAATTACAGACAGATTTGTTCTTCTGCAGATCCATATGCACTTATGAGCTCTGTATGTATTGCATTTCATTGTATTATTATTATTACTATTATTATTATTATTATTATTATTATTATTATTATTATTATTATTATTATTATTATTATTATTATTATTATTATTATCATTATCATTATTATTATATTCATCATTATCCTTATTATTATCATCATCATTATCATTATCATTATTACTATCATTATTATTATTATTATTATGTAGTTACTATGTACGCACATACACATAGAAAACATGACCTTCATGATTAATGAATTTAATTTAATAAATAATCAAATTCGAAATATTTTATTAATTTAAAAATTTTACTTTAATGTTATCGAATTCTTATTTTATACATGTTAAATTCATATTATTTCACCATTAGTCTAAAAAAATAGGAATACGTCTATAATATGCAATTTGCATTAATAATTTTTTAATAACTAATTTAATGAACAGTATATGCATATGTATGCGTGTGTACGCATAATTTTCAATACAAATAATATAAATCAATTAAATTCAATCACTTCCTTAAATATATATGTAAGGAATTCATTGGTACTTCGAATAATTCTCGAACCGTTTAACATTTTCATTAGACGATGCATAATGCACAAAGTTGTTATGCATTCTGATATTATTCTTAGGGCGACAGTGGAGGTCCGCTTTTGAGTATGGGTATGGTTATTGGCGTCAATACAGCTACCGTACCAGTGACGGTTAAGGTGCCTCATCCAGATAAGGTCAACGTTCATGCTGGTATCGAATACTACAGAGCGTTTATTTTGGAAGCCATAGGTAGCAGTTTTGTATGGTCTTGATAACGATTGATAATTATTTTATCTGTTCCAGTATATGGCATTATATCGGTAATGAGAAACCATAAAAACTATATATATATATATATATATATATACATACATATATACATACGTACATACATAAATACATATAATTGTCAAATATATATGTTTTTAATCACATTGTTGATACAACTTATATTGAAATCTAATGTAGGTGCCATTAAATGCTATAAATAAATACATCCAATCGATACATTTCCTTAATTAGCTTATACATTTATAAAATTCTTTTGATTCATTGGATTAATTTGTTCTTTACAAAAATTACCACTGCAAATCAGGATAACAAACGCATGACAATGTCGTAGTTTTAAATCTCTTTCAATTTGCTAATTTGCCCATTCGTAAAAATAGCGTTGTACAATCATAATCAGGGACAACGTATCTTACAGTAACAATTATCATTATACAATGATTTCAATCATAATAAAGTTATTGTCTATTTTTAAACAGTAATATAATACAACTAAACTATTCATCATTGTTCATGCTGTAAATTATTATATTATTAATTTTTAATTTTTATCACAGCCAACAAAAACTATTCTGAGTAGTATGAGTAATAAAATCTCTATAATAGTAAATTCCAGTATGAATGTTAACTTTTCCATGATAAATAGGTATTTCTGGTAAAGGAGCAGTCGCTTTATTTACACCTACGATCATATCGTGCACCATAATAGGTCCACCAAAATCACCCTAAAATGTGATAATTTTTAAATACTTCGATATTAATTCTCTATAATACATTGGAATAATAAGAAAATACAAAATATAATGAAAATAACACCAGAGTTTGGATTTCAACATATTTTGATATTTCTACATTTATTTCTATAATTAAATATTATATGATAAAATAATTACTTACATCCTGTAATAATATAAAGGGATATATAGCAGTACACAGGTATCTGTATTGAATAGGAACTCTGTAACCCGCTAATCTTTCAACTTTGTCAATACATTCATTTATGGATAAGATGTTCACCCTGGCTGCTAACATAAAATTAGATACTTCTCCATTATTTGTTTTTCCCCATCCTGCAATTATCGCGTTCGCCCCATACAAATCTCGATTCGTTAGAGGAGAAAGAACCGCTGGTATAATATCTTGATCGACATCGCGATTAAGCTAAAAAAATTTATATTTTTATTTCTTCGCTCCTCCTTCAGCTACGCGTAAGTATATTCGAATGACAATAATTACTATTATTACAAAACAACTTATTTATATGCATCTCATAATCATTATTTAATAAACACTATTTTTCTTAAGTGAAAATTTACCCTTGTAATACTGATATCGCTATCATCATAAGATCTATAATTTTGAAAGTTTGTGGACCAAGTGTCATAAGTGATCCACCATAATATATTATATACCCTACTGGTAGTTAAACCAATTGAACCAGCGAGCACAACAGTTTCGTTCTTTAGTCTATTTGCAATGCACGTAGCCGAACATAATACGTGACTTCGTGAAATAAGTGCAGCAGTACAGATGTGATCACGTATAAGTATAGGATTTACGTTAGTAGAGTGTTTAAATGACACAACATGAGTAAATTGTCCGCGTCCTACTGTTATAACATTAAATCCGACTATGGCTTCCGAAAACGGAAAGTTAAATTGAATGCCTAAAATAGAAAAATTTTCTTAAATATAAAGTTTATTTAATATAAAAATTTTGGTTTTACGGTATGTACATTGTTGAGTGATACTTACAAAAAATTGTGCATATAAATATAATCAGGGAAAATCTGATTGCCATATCGAAATTACAAAAGGAGGATTTATCTACGAATACATAGAATAATCATATTTAGAAATGATTAATCGAATAGTTTAAAATTATACTAAATCGCGTTATTTGCCATAATTAGTATAATAATATGTATAATATTAATGTCTTTAAATTATTGTTTAAATTAACTTATATAACTATGAATAATTACAGTAAGTACTTTAGCAATTTTCCTTTGAAATTGTAATATTTATTTGAGAAGAAATGTTAACCGCGTCGATCATAGCATTAATATTAATAGAATAATAAAAAATTAATATTAGGAATTCAACACGAATTTTGTATCAATTTCCATAATAATTGAAAAAATCGTGTTATTTACTGAATCTGAATATACATTTCTTACACTATAGTTACTCGTAAATATTTGTCTTTGGAAACAAATTACTAATGTTAAATACTAATTTTTTAATCGATTGTCTATCGTATGAAAAATTTAGAAATTACAGGTACATGGTAAACTATAATTCACCTTATTAATTATTGTCACTAACCAAGAAATTTTTCAAATCATGAACTACTTTTAATGATTTAAATAAAATTTATTTTCCCTTATATGTAATTTTTTTTGTTTTTCAATTACAGAAATTTAATCTAGATGTCAAATCTGTCAGAGATATGAGTATAAAAAAATCTTGAATGTCATTATGAACTCGATTGAAAATGTTGTATTAACTTCAATTTATTTTACAAGTAATAACTGTAGAATATCAAAATGTCAATATATCATTACATCAACGGGTTTTCTATAAATCATTTATACATATCCATTAATAAGTGAATTCCTTTTTCTTTTCTCTTTGTGTATAAATATATTTTTGTTTCTTCTTTTGTGTACGTATATATATTAACATACATTTTCTTTTATGCATGTATGTATCTATATATATATATATATATATATATATATATATATATATATATGTATATGCACATACATGCATAAATATATATATATATATATATATATTTCTATTTAATTAGGTTAAAATTATCTTTTAATAATTGAAGTGACATGTTTATTTTGATCTTACAAATTTTATCATCCACATCGGAAATATACTACGTTTAAATATCGAAGAACGAGAAATGTAATTTTTAAGATTATGAAAAAATAGATGACATCCAAAGTATAATTTGACTATTAGTTTTTAATGTTTTAAAGTTTTTATACATGTTTACTCAATAGCCTATTTCTTATCTAAATTGCTACATAATGTTTGCGTTTATAAAATGTACGATAAATTGTATAATAGAAATGAATTCATTCCATTGCTTTAATCGTGTTATCTAAACCATGTTATTTAAATGTTATATTTCTAAAAGTATTTTTAATTCATTTTAAAAAAGAAAAATTTTACAGAAGCAATTATTAAAAAAAAAGAGATAAATTTATGTTTTTTACACTGTTATTAATTATTTATGTAGTTTTTAAACTGTCCTAAATTTTAATAAATGAAATACGGATCAGGAATATATTTTTATATATATATTGTAATTTATGCTCTTTAAATAAGAATTATATAATTACAAATAAATTGTATTGTTATTTCTTATTTCATTAAATGTATTAGTTTAGTTTAAAAGTTATTTATGCAGCGGTTTTTAATGTAAATTTTGATACAAGTTATCTTATGATCTAATATGTTTTGTTTCAATTCTGTACGGAATATTTTAAATAGTATTTTTATAAATTCGCATTAAGTAGGTTCTTATTCAATATTAAGTGAGTAATTTAAGCTATTAGAATTTACAGAAATAGAACTGTTTATTTGTTGCATATATTTACTGATTTAATATTTATCGATATTAATCATACTAATATGTTTAGATAAAAAAAAAAAAAAAAAAAAAAAAAAAAAATTGATCGTAATAATCGAATAAAAAGTTTTATTATAAGATTAACTTGACAATATGTTCTTTGATTCGTTTATTCACCCTCTACAACGCCTTGATATTTTAATATATTTTTATAACATATGGTATTTTATTGTATTTTATTGTATGTAATATTGGTATTTTATAAGAGTAACAGCACACTGATTCACTAGAAATAAATAAAATTATTTTTCGCATACGTGTCAAAAGAACGCCTTTTATAAATTATAATTCATTCATATTTTAAGATTATTTTATAGTATAAACAACTTAACGATGTGATTTTTCAATATATTAACGAATCTCAATAATACTAATGATAAATTATTGTATTAGTATTTGTATTAATTATGCTTATTCAGGTGGCATTGAACCATTGTCATAGGTATTGCGATTATAACATAAAAAATGTTTTCTACATTTTAGTATTCGCTATATTACAATAAAATGTCGTATTAACATAATTTTTATATTGAATGCGGATGATTTATCTTATATTTTGTAAACGTCGTTATTGTATTAATCAAATAACATACAATATACTGTATAATTAAATATATTGAAATTGAAAATATAACTATATCGTGAAATATTTTTAAATATTAAATATTAAAGATATAATTAATTAATATATACTTTTATTTCTTTGGTATATGATGAATTTATCGATAACTAACGCAGTTTTTATAACGCCATATTATTAATTGATTAACTCAAAAGCGAAAGAAAATTAGTGATATTTAATTGACATGTTAAATTATCCGATGAATATCTTTAAATTTAATTAGAACATAAAAATATTTTATCATTAATGTATGTTAAATTCGAGGTTGAAGAAAAAAATTATATTATCGTAAATTATTCAACGAATATCTATTTATAGAGAAGCAATAATTAAATTAAAAAGTCAGATTATATGTGTTTGAGGCTAATCATTATCAATTTCAAAATAAATTAACGTTGCTATTTTTTCAAACTAGTTTGTAATTCATGACTTATATTTAATACCTGATAATATTCATATCTCCGTAATATTTAACATTTTGATTAAATTATTAAAATTTATCAAACAAGGAAACACATATAAATAAGAATAAATTTTATTTTATGCAGTTCATATATGGATATATTACTATAATATTAATATATATATATATATATATATATATATATTATTATTATTATTATTATTATTATTATTATTATTACGATATAACGAAGTAATAGGCTAATTTTAATTAATATTTAAATAATCATTGATTAGTCACAATTTCTAAAGGTAATTCTTAATATAATCTTATAGTGATTCATTTGGAACAACAATTGGTTATTGCACAGTTCCTACCGAATTATCTATACTTTTAACCAAATTATATCTATAGATCTATTACAAATCAATTTATATTTATTGTATTATATTATTAAGCAATTTTTATTATCATTAAATATTTATCTAATTAATAAATTTCACATTTTAGCTTTGTATTCAACATGCATCTTTATTTCGGCATATGTGTGATATTTCGTAAGTTTTAATATATAATTTTCATACAGTATACTTTTATTTAATGAGCAATTTAAGATTCCATTTAATTAATCAATTTTCTTATTTCAACAACTACATAGTCACTCAATGCGTCTTTCCATCTATTGACGCATTATTAGGACCGAATATTCGACAATCGCAACGTGGAGAATTTCCTTTCGTAGTATCCATGATAAAATTGAATTTTGACAATCCCAGGCCTGTAGAAAATCATCTCTGTACTGCAGCGCTCATTTCAACTCAGCATGTTTTAAGTGCAGCAACATGTACCAACGATAGACTGAGTAATGAAACTCTTATCCTTCTCGGGGACCGTAATTTAAACAACTGTAATATTTACAGTATATTGTGGTGGATAAATTATGATGCATGGAGTGAATTTAAACGAGTACCCCGTTTATATTTTGTAAATGATATCAGTATTTCGAAGGTAAATGTTTTGTTAATGAAAATGTCAAAATTTAGATAAGAAGTTCTTTTCTCTTTCTCTCTCTCTCTCTCTCTCTCTCTCTCTCTCTCTCTCTCTCTCTTTTTTTTTTTTTTTTTTTTTTTTTTTTTAGAAAATCAAATCAAATTGACAATGTCGATCATTATATAATGTACGTAATGTTTTTAGTTGCTTCGACCAGTAGAACATGATATTGTGCCGGGAGTTCTCTTATATATGCCGAATGAAAATTTGGAAGCTAGTAGTGCTCAAGTGGCAGCCTGGGGTGCAAACAATCATCATATAATAACTCCTTATATGTTAACGTCAACTGTCAGATTCTTGTCAAACAGTAAATGTCAAAGTAAACTCACAAAATTGGAAAAATCATTTGTACTTGTGCATGAAAGATTCTTTTGTACCAATGCACATCCATATGTAATATTATTTCGAGTAAGTATTCATTGATTTCATCCTTAGAATATTTTTATTATTCATCATATAATTCTTTAAATATTGTTAAGAGATAAGAGTAATGAATTTATAATATAATTTTTTTTTTTTTTTTTGTATTTATCTCTGTAATCATTTGGATGTGTAAAAATATAATATTACTTTTTAGGGTGATTTTGGTGGACCACTTATATACCGAAATCGAATAATTGGTATCAATAAAGAAACTCTTCCTCAAATGGATGGTAATTTTCACCCAAGCAAAATCAACATCCACACGAGTATTTTCCCCTACAGACAATTCATTGAAGATGTTACAAGTAGTCAATTTCTTTGGTACTAAATGATGAATTCCTAAAAGCATAATTAAATACATTTAATAATATAGTTGTTTTATATTGAGTTTAACATAGCATTTTTATATTTATACATCTTATTCAACGAAATACAATTTGTAAACGAATAGTTTCATAGGAATTGCACTCATTTGATATGCTGTTGATAAATGATAAAATTTTTTTAAATTAAGTATTCATATTTTTCAAATACCTAGGTAATTTTCATTTCATGAATACGAGCATATGGACGTATTTAATAACATATTTAATTGTCCATAATATAATCGATGTTTTATTTAAATGAGAAAAGGTAGAGTTTACTTTAGATTTTTGTAATGATTTATCATACAGTACGCTTGTTAAGTCATTTTCCAAATGCCGAGCAAACATTTAACACGAACAAGCCTACGTGCACAAAATCTATGAAGAAAGCAAATTAAAATCTCGACTATTAGTTATAAAATAAGAAAGCTATAATTCCTTTTACATTGATAGTTTAAAATAAATGCATTCGCGTAGGTTTTTAATTGTTATAATAAACGTTTGAGAAGGAATGGACAGCCATGTAATTTATTTACAAAAAAAAAAAAAAATGTTAATTCAATTTTAACGTAATGTAATTATTATTGAAAGATGCTTTAAATATTACATAAATACTTGTAACTTTAAATATGGAAAAACACTTACGTTTTTTAAAAAAATAATTGAAAAATAACAAATAATTATTGTTTTAAAGCATACGTAATATAATCACGATATCTTTTTAAAATATTAATCAAATGTTTTTTAATGGATCAATATTTTATATTTAAGTGCGATATTTAGATTCGATTAGGAAAATAGAAATTAAACGAAAAAATAAAAATGGAACTTTACATTTGATATCTAATAAATAAAGCATATTCGATTTGAAAAAAGTTGCGATGATTACTATTCCTTAAGCATATTTATGTTATCATATAATGCTTACAAAATACTGTAAGTACTATATACCAATAAATAAAGGAATTCCATTGAAACGTAAAATTATTGATAATTAATTTATAAATACTGAATCACTAAATAATTGATTTTATAAATGTCAGTTTCAGCATATTTTATTAGTTGTTAAGATATATTGTTTCTATCGAATACTTTATGATAAATCTTTAAATTTTTTTTTTAATTCATTCGAATTATTGCGATTTAACGATTATATATGAATTATATAACGTTACGAACAATTATTCTTTTATTCTATTCTAACTACCACCTACACTATAACTGTCCTATTTTTACTATTAACTCATTATTACTTACCATACCATCAAACACTTCGAAAGTCTTATGATTGAACGACTACATCTGTCAATAGAATCTAAGCACCACAATTTTGCAATTGCGTTATGCTCAATTATGCAAAGCAATTAAGTAGTACGTATTTCTTCATTGTTATAAAATACAATTCCGGGTAACTAAGAGTAATTTATATTACTTAATACGCCATTGATCTTTGATCGATCTTCGAGTCTGTCGAAGCACTTTTAATTTACTAAAATATTAATAATAAAAAAATTATATATATAATTGACTAATATTCGTCGTTTATATTTTCATTGTTTATCGTATTCGATTTCAACTAATTTTAGAACGTTATCATCATGTTCATTATGAATGTAATTTTTTTTTTTAATTTGTATATCGGGTATACTACGGATTTTTACATCGGAGGATCAAGATTTTTCAGCTATTCATTATTTAAGAAGATACTAACAGAATCATTCTCATTATCCGCTTTATTTATTCACTATTGATTGTTGCTATATTTAGTATGCGACCAATAATTTATTCACTGCTGGCTTAACGCATAATATGCTGTAAGTAATTACAAGATTTTTCACTTTTCTATATAGTATTTTATATAAAAATGAAAAATCACTTAAATTTATCGCTTAGTAAAATTATAAATAAAATAAATTAAAATAGTAATGCATAGGAGTCAGAGAAGGAAAGAGAGAAAGACTATAATTTTATTGTATCTATTGAACGAATTAATTATAAAAATACCAAAGCAGAAGCTGATGTGATTTGCAAGAGAGTCATTATTTCAAAAACTAATGTTTTATAGTTAAACATTACTTAAAACAATAAGAACTAACCAATGTACAAAATTATTATTGGATCCATGGATTTAAAAAGTGGCAATACTAAATGAATAAATTTTAATCAGGACGCAGATAACAAGTATATTAGTCAAAAATGATTTCGTTGTTATAAAAATAATTACGTATAATTATTTCGTTGTATTAAGAAAAGTTTTAGGAAATGGTTAAGCACTTACGCGAATGCGTATACACAGAATATTTCTTAGATCACTAGATTCGATCGAAAATTTGTTGAAAATTTAAATTAAAATTAAAATGTAAAATTCCTTTGGTTGTGTGATAATATTCCATAAAAAATAAAAACTGCTATTTTGTCAACAAAATGCGTGTCGCCTAGATTAAGCATTATTATGTGTAGATGGGATAATTAAATAATCAATAATAATGAGCTAGATATTTACGAAAAGCCAATTTGAAAATATTAATAAATATCGAATGCTAAGGAAAAATTCAAAATTCATCTAAGGAATTAGTAAAAATAACAAATAATATCATGTCTTCTACCACTTCTCCAATTTACATTATTGATGGAAGTAAGTAAATACTTTGAATCATTGAAATTTGTACAAAATTATAAAATTGCCAATTTTATTTTAACGCTTTAATCATAATTTGCTTTATTTATCAAGACGCATGATTAATATTTTAGAAATATTCAAAGAGAGTAAATAAAAATATATTCTATGATAACCGAATTCTCAATTGATATAAATATTGTAATAATTTTGGGACATTAACAAAATAACCTGTTTACAATGACCAAATAAATATTCATTGAAGTAAAGAAAATTATGATTTTCATTATATGTATGTGTAAAATTGACGACACGCGTAATTAAATTAGAAAGGATTAAATTGTAATTTATTGCGTATTTATGGCTTTCAATTATGTAAAGATAACATAAGTGTGTTATTCATCACTTGGATACCATTTTACCGAAAGTAACTCGAAAGCTAAGACTAACCAATTAAAGACGAGAACACTGCTCTTTAATTGCATCATATTTTTTATAAACATAGTACAAATTAATTGTTGTATACAAATTATATCGGCGTTAAGCAGCTTAGTTATACAATTTAAGAATTAAATATTTAAAAAGGACTTTACTCGTTAAATAAGACGAGCTTCTCAAGCATGTTTACGTAAAAAATTACACTGCTATCGAATATCGCTTCCATTATCTATAAATTATACTATTTATTATTAATGATATCTAGATAAATAATTCGGAATGTCAATCTAAAAGTTCTTCTCGGAGAATTTTCTCAAATATTGCACAATTACCAAACGATATTATAACCTAAATTATTAATGGCTAATAAACACATGTGTGCACGATTGTATCGAGAGTATCAATTACTAATTATTATGCTTTTGTGTTAATGATGCCGTATTTCGATTTAATTTGTCGTATTATGATTTAATCCAATTCGAGTGCGTATATAAAAGAAAAAAAAGTTAATTAATAAGTAAAGTATTATCGTCATTCAAAAAAGTAGCGAGATAATGTTCTATCGGTAAATTGAGAAAATGTTAATTATATTTGTAATTACGAATTATCGGGAATGTGACATTTAAATACACACATCGAAAAGTAAATGAAGAATATATGTGAAAAATAATACTTAAATAAATCTTAAATCAATAGACATAGAATGCAAAATTTATATTATTTCTTTACATCGAAATTGAATTCTATTCAATCTAAGTAATCTAACTTTTATTATTGACAATTATCATCGATGCTTCATTCGATGAATCCAATTTAAATCAAACGTATTCGAGATCGAATTGTATATCGATTTTAATTGAGTTGACAATTTTAACACGAACTTGCTTCTAATATATTCTTTTATCATGACTACAATTGATCGATGTGACATTGTGATTGTGTTAGAAACTAAATGTAACATCGAATCGGTAGTTTTCGATTATCGAACCAATGTCCGAGAATACTAATTTTAGTCCTTTATATATATATATATATATATATATATAAGTATATAATTAACCAAATTTTTCATTAATACTACTTAGTTTGAAAATGTTGTTAATACAGGGGAATATTATACGGTTTATATATCACATAGTTAGTCAAGGATTGTTTTAAAATATTCATATATACCATGTCACTTTTTAAAATAATAAATTAATTAAGTTTGTTTGCGAACAATAAATTTATTTGAATTTGTCACGATCGCTCGAAAGTATTAACGAAAATTTTATTCATTCTCATAATACTCTGACTAATACTAAGCCATGTAACGACATAATTTGATAAATGATATTAAAATAGAATTGTAAGTGTATGTAATCGGAAATGAAATTATGTTGTTTAAAACCTTTACAACGAAATTAAATTGAATGTATTAAACTCAAACTTGTTAGGTTATTATTTATAGAAAGCTATCAGTTTAGATCATTTACAGCTTAGTTTACAATGATAAATTTGAATTTTAAATTCCTAAAGATTTATTGCATTTATTTCTATTGTTTGGAATATTGTATAACATATAACTCCATCGGCTACTATTTCTAATATTTTCATTCATAAATATTATTATGATTATTTTGTTTCTCAGTTGGAATATTCTTCGCAGGTAATGCATGGAATGAGTAAAGTATAAAATCTTACTGCTATCTATTCCCAGAATAAATTAAAGTTTTCGATTTAGCAAATACAAATATAATACCAAATATCCTACGCAACGGTTATCGTAGCATTAATAATTGCTAAGATAGTGACAGGAGGCCACTGGCTGCTTTGTACATTGCAGAATATAAAGATAGAATAGTTATTTGAAGGTGATTATAGCAATATCTATGCCCAACTGAGTTGCATAATTTCGATTTCGAACTTTATCGTCACATCTATTTCCGATAAATCCCAGCCATTCCGTAAAATTATAAGAGTAAGTCACCTTTTCGGCTCACGTAAGTTGAAAATTTGAAAAAGACAAAGAAAATTACTAACTCTGCGAATTGCTAAATAATAACAATTACCTTTATCAATTCAAACTTCGGTAAAGAGAAAGCTTGAACTATAAAAAATAAAACATAATATATGCCAGATAATTATACTTTAAATTTTCTATTATTTGCTATCCCAATATTACCTAAATATTATCATATGTTAATATTTTTATATCTTACAAATATCTAACCATATTAATCAAACACAATAAATAACATAAAGATTATTTATCTCTATTTTAGTTTCGTAATTTTATAATAATATGGTATATCTTATATAACTAATAGTATTGATACTTGAATTACTATATAAGATAAAAAAATATTTCTAAAGTTTACTTCTGCGACGTATTTTTTTATTTATATTATTAATATGAGACTCAATACTTGTTTATTTTTGGTACAATATGTTATATTATGTAAGTAGAAAATTTCATTGCATAATAGAATATAGTATTTCAGAACTTTATCCTTATGGTTACATCTACGTTAAATATTTTTATTTTTAGGCATCGAATATAATTTGAAAAGCGTAAATGCCATAATTGGAAATAATGTAAGACAAGTAAATACAGGAGAATTCAAATTTATCGTCTCTCTCATGAAAATAAACAGAGCGAATTCTATACCAAATGAAGCCCACTATTGTACGGGCTCACTTATTACAAGAAAAGATGTTTTAAGCTGTGCTCATTGTTTAGACGAAGAAGAGTTAGAAAGTTCACAAGTACTCATTGGATCAAGTGACTTGAGGTTTGGCGAAATGTTGTACATTTACTGGTGGATAACGTATGACCAATGGGTAATCGCTAACAATAGGACTGAAAATAATTATGAAAGTGATATTGCAAATATAAGGGTAAATAACTGAAAATTCTACAATCATTATTATATTAGTTATTTTTCAAATTCAGCAACTTATAAGTAAAAATTATTTTAGCTTATGCAAAAAGTATCGTTTAGTTATAACATAGTGCAAATCTCATTTATGTCAAATATTGATTTGTATTGGTCAGATGTTATAATAGCAGGGTGGGGTGAATCGAATAACGGTTATACGCCTACTATAATGGAAACTGCTAATGTACAAATTATAACAAATTCTGAATGTGATAGACGGATAGAGAAACTTGCAGGAACACCAGTCGAAATCGATATGCATATGGTGTGTACCATTGGAAGGCCTTTCGTATTGTTGGGTAACGTAAGTATTGACACGTGAGATGTTTTTTTGACTGTTCATTCGCCATTTTCACATTCTTCATGCACCATGAAATAATTGCGTATTATAGGCACTTTTAGGCATAGGATTATTTGTTTAATACGTTACAATTGCGAACTATGAAGATTCTAAAGGATTTATTATACAAATGATTCATCTACTTAATAAATAATATTTTACTCATACAAGTAATCATAAAATTTTAGTAAAAAAAAAAAAAAAACAATAAAATTTCTTCATATTATAATAGCTTATTAAAGGGTGGTATTGATTGTTTATTTTTTACTATTATTTCGATAAAAAGACTCTTCTGACTAAGAATTTTCTTTCGTACCGTAAAACTATGCACAAAACAAAATTTATTTAAGCATAGTGTAAAGTTATTAAACATATATCAAAAGTATACTTAATGCAATAATTACAAATTTTTTCATAAGAATTATCATAATTAATTTTTATATGAAAAATCTGGTAATTCGCATGACGCATTATTATCTGTATTTTAAATATAATGAATCATATCCTCACTCTTTTTGAATTTATAAATATATATTACAAGCAATAGACTTTCAATTATATAATAATTTAAGCATTCTTTATAGAATAATTATCTACTCATCTAATGAGAAATATGAAAAATTAATTAAGTAAATATTTTAATTGTAATTTAATTTTAATAATAGACAGGGTTAGCTTTAGACAATATTGTTTATTTAATATGAGCTTTGAAAGTAATTTTTCCTATTAATTTAATATTACTATCTTTATTTTATAAATTTAACTAGAATGTAAAAGTTAGTTCCATTAAATTTTCAAGAACTACATAGAAATAAAGTTCTATCCAAATTCGTATAGTTAATTATATTAAATACTTTTAAATAAATGAATATAGATTGAAGTGTACTTATTAACAATTTTAGGGCGATAGCGGAGGTCCGCTGCTCTTCTTCAATAAACTTGTAGCTATTAATAAAGGAACAAGTCCATTTCTGCATTTACCTTATCATAGAAAACAAGTGAATGTTCATACAAGTATTTTTTTTTACAGGGATTTTATTACTTATATGCAAAATTACTAATAAATTAATTTATGAATTTTATGTACAAATGACAAATACATTGTTTTAATTGAGTAGACATACATAACGATAAATTAAAATAAAATAATATCCTTTGCTTAGTTATATTATTGCCACAAATCCCAATTTCAATAAATAATTGAATAAATTGAAAAAATTTTCATAAGATGTAATATTAATTAATAAAAAATTATTTCATGGCTAAATTATACCAATGCATTAAAAATGTATAGCATGATTTTTCAAAACAATACTTTGATAATCAATCAATAATTATGTACAAAATTAAATTAATATAATAAACAAAACAATATAAAATGTATTATAATTTTAACAGCGGCAACCGAATTTGAAGAAAAAAATCCTTCAACTACTAATATTATCAATTTATTTTAGATTTATTATTATTGACATCGTATAGTACGTGAAAATAGATTATTAAAAATCTATTATAAAGTAGGACAAATAAATTTATTTTATAAGAATGTTTTATATTATAATTTATATTATATTATATTATATATATTATCTGATTAATTTATATTATATTCATAATAGATATTGGCAGCGAAATACATAAAGTATAATAGACTAGATAAGAATATATTAGATCAACATATTTTAATTTTTTTTTTTTTTAAATATTTGATAATTCTCCAGAAATAGAATAAAATAATTGTTACGTAACACTTAAAATTAGTAAATCTCAATAGTCATCTTAATGTCCCCAATAATTAAAGGAAATAATTGTTTCCAATTAAACCTCAAAAGATAAATGAAATTTTAGATAATATGATAAAGTATATTAATAGCTTTGAATGAGTTAAAAAGGAAATGCAGTGAATGTCGTGTTTTTTTAAAAAAATATATTCATAGATAAAATATTTCTTTTAATAATCTATTAAATTGTTATTATGCATATGTATTTTTTATGGTATAGATAAAAATATAATTTATAACATCATTCTTACTATTCGAAGAAAAAAACAATTTTTTTGTTTTTCTTTTAAAACGAAAAACAAAAATAAACGTATTTTTATAAAAATTCGGTTATTACAATGGATAATAATATTTTGGATTTATTTTATAAAACTACAAGTAGAATATACAATAATAGATAATGAATGCAATTAGTATTCGTTATAAGGAAAAATATATAAAAATTAAATTTCTTTCATCATTAACTATTCTCCGGAATATATTTATACAGTATGTGATTTTGTTTTGGTAATATGCTTTGAATGAAAAAAAAACAGAAAACTTAAATAAGTTATAATTGTCATTCTAATTATGTCTAAAGAGAAAGCTTGTAATATCAAACATAATACATTATATATGCCAGATAATTATACTTTAAACTTTCTATCATTCGCTAACACAATATTACTTAAATTGTGTAATTTGTTAACATTTCAACATCTTTCGAATATCTAACCATATTAATCGAACAATATATAAAATAAAAATTATTTTATTATTATATCTATTCTAGTTTCGTAATTTTATTATTTTGTAATAATATCCATTATCAGCTCTTATTGGTTTTTGATTTTTCTGTAAGGTTTCCTGTAAGTTTTGAATTAAGTAAGTATTACTCCAGGTATCACCAAACAAACTTTCGGAAAATGTTAAACCAAAGGATTAAATGAGTTCTTTATTGTCTCTAATAATTAAGTAATTTTCATAGATTCTGTATACATATTATTGAACCATACACGATATTATTTGGTACCATATTATATTATATGGTAGTCTCATGTGGTAAGTTCTTGTAGGGTAAAATTTAAGGAACGAATTAGGAGAGGAATTCTCTTTTGCCAATTACAATTCTTTGATCTGATGCGCTTGGGTATATTTTTTACGTGCTTATTCCTACTTCAAACAATTCTCGAACCGTTTAACATTTTCATTAGACGATGCATAATGCACAAAGTTGTTATGCATTCTGATATTATTCTTAGGGCGACAGTGGAGGTCCGCTTTTGAGTATGGGTATGGTTATTGGCGTCAATACAGCTACCGTACCAGTGACGGTTAAGGTGCCTCATCCAGATAAGGTCAACGTTCATGCTGGTATCGAATACTACAGAGCGTTTATTTTGGAAGCCATAGGTAGCAGTTTTGTATGGTCTTGATAACGATTGATAATTATTCTATCTGTTCCAGTATATGGCATTATATCGGTAATGAGAAACCATAAAAACTATATATATATATATATATATATATATACATACATATATACATACGTACATACATAAATACATATAATTGTCAAATATATATGTTTTTAATCACATTGTTGATACAACTTATATTGAAATCTAATGTAGGTGCCATTAAATGCTATAAATAAATACATCCAATCGATACATTTCCTTAATTAGCTTATACATTTATAAAATTCTTTTGATTCATTGGATTAATTTGTTCTTTACAAAAATTACCACTGCAAATCAGGATAACAAACGCATGACAATGTCGTAGTTTTAAATCTCTTTCAATTTGCTAATTTGCCCATTCGTAAAAATAGCGTTGTACAATCATAATCAGGAATTTTAGAATAACAGTTGCTCGTGTAATTATTTAATTTATTGTTTTATTATAAGTAATGATCAAATTTTTAAATACATCATCATCGACTATACATAATTCAAATAAATATTCCTCTTATAATCTTGATCGTATTGTGCTTCTTTATCAATGCCAATTAAAACTATGTTCTGTCGCATGCGTAATAAAGTCTAAATACTCATAAACTCCCGTATGAATATTAACTTTTCCTTCAAGAACAGGTATATTTGGTTTTGGAGTTGTCTCTTTATTTACACCGACGATCATGTCGTTGACCATAATAGGTCCACCAAAATCACCCTAAAAATGGGTAAAAATATATAAATATATTTACTATCTTAAGAAGATAAACTACAATGCTATTCAACATATTCAAAACTTTAAGAATGAGCTTTTAAATAGTGACATTATAATGTTAAACGCTAAAATTACAATATTAGATAAGAGATTTAATCTATTTTCAATAATATATTGCAATAATAAGAAAATACAAAATATTATAAAACGTAATACAGAGTTTGAATTTCAATATATTTTGAAATTTCTCCACTTATTTCTGTAATTACATTTTATATAATAAAATGATTACTTACCTCATGTAATAATATAAAGGGATGTGCAGCAGTACACAAGTATCTTAAGGGAATAGCAATTGTATAGCCCCCTACTCTGTGTATTCTGTCTCGACATTCGTTCAATGATAAGACCGTCACAACACCTGCTAACATAAAATTAGGTTTGCGTTTATCATTTGTTTTTCCCCATCCTGCAACTGTCGCAGTCGCCCCAAACAATCGTCCATTCGGTATATGAGAAATGCCCGCTGGTGTAATATCTCGATCGACATCACGAGTAAGCTAAAAAATATATATTTTTATGTATTCGTTGGTATTACAGCTGCGCGTAAGTATATTCGATGGTCCGCAATAACCTCTATCACAAATGAAATGATTTACATGTATTGAATAAACATTAGCATGATAAAGTGAATTCTATTCAAACGAAAATTTACCCTTGTAATACTGAGATCATTTTCTGGATATGGATTAAAAGTTTGAAAGTTTGTGGACCAAGTGTCATAAGTTATCCACCATTGTATAGTATATACCCTACTGGTAGTTAAACCAATTGAACCAGCGAGCACAACAGTTTCGTTCTTTAGTCTATTTGCAATGCACGTAGCCGAACATAATACGTGACTTCGTGAAATAAGTGCAGCAGTACAGATGTGATCACGTATAAGTATAGGATTTACGTTAGTAGAGTGTTTAAATGACACAACATGAGTAAATTGTCCGCGTCCTACTGTTCTAACATTAAATCCGACTATGGCTTCCGAAAACGGAAAGTTAAATTGAATGCCTAAAATAGAAAAATTTTCTTAAATATAAAGTTTATTTAATATAAAAATTTTGGTTTTACGGTATGTACATTGTTGAGTGATACTTACAAAAAATTGTGCATATAAATATAATCAAGGAAAATCTGATTGCCATATTGAAATTACAAAAGGAGGATTTATCTATGAATACATAGAATTATTATATTTAATAAGATGAATTGAATATTTATAATAAAATTTAGATGTATTTTAGATGTATTATTGTGAACATCGTGTAGTACATAAAATTAGTTTATAAAAAAAGCTATTGTACAGCAGAGAGATAAATGTTTATTGTTTGACTAATTGATTGTATATTTGATTATATATTTCTTCAAATTATAATATATAGATATTGGCAAAAGATACATAAAATATAATAGACTAGATAGATATATACTAGATCGCTAAGTTTTATAAAAATTCAACATACTTAACAATTTTCATGAAATTGAAAACGTGCAAAATTAGTAAACTTTAGTAGTCCTTAGTGATATAATTATAATCCTATAATTATAAGAAAGAATTGTTTCCACTTAAATCTCCAAAGATAAATGAAATTTTAGATAATATGATAAAGTATATTAATAGCTTTGAATGAGTTAAATAGAAAATGCAGCGAATGTCGTGTTTTGAAAAAAAAATATATTGATAGATAAAAAATTTCTTTGAATAATCTATTGAAAATGTTTATTATGCATGTTAATTTTTTATGGTATAGATAAAAAATATAATTTATAACATCATTACGCAATATTCGAAGAAAAAACAAATTTTGCTAATTGATAAAAGAATAAATCTCTTATATTAACATATATTAAGTCGAATCTCCTCAATATCATGATGAAGTCGAACATATAATGACTGTAAGTTATGAGTAAAACTCGTATTTACACATTTTTACCTTCAATATAAATAACAAATTTCATTTACTTATCAAATATATCGTCCAATCATAACAAAATTGAAAAATCTCATTAACCGAAATATACAAGAGTATATTTATTCGAATATGTCGGTACGGCGCATTCAACATGCAATAAGGAATCCAATACATATAAAACTGCATATATTGGTAATAAAATGTTTAATACAACTTATTTTTAAATCTAATGTAGATGCCATTAAAAGCTATAAATAAATATTACCAATCGTGGAATTGAATTAATTAACATTTATTTAATTTACAATCCATAAGGATGAAGATTAGTAATTATTAGATTATATTTTTGTTCTTTACAAAAATTACCACTGCAAATCAGGATAACAAACAGATGACAATGTCGTAGTCTTAAAACTTTTCCAACTTGCTAATTTGCCTCTTCATAAACGCGCCATTATACATTCATAATCAAAAATGTTAGAATTGCAGTTACTCATGTAATTATATAATTTATTGTTTTATTATAAATAATTAATATACATTATAATCCAGTATATATAATTAATTCAACTAATCCACTTGTAATCTTGATATTGTTGTGGTTCTTTATCATTGCCATTGGAAATTATATCTTGTAGTTTCAGTAATAAAGTCCAAGTAGTAAGTAATTCCTGTATGAATGTTGATTTGTCGTCGCTGTATAGGTATATCCGATAATGAATTGGTTTCTTTATTTATACCAATAATCATGTCGTCAGAGAGAACTGGTCCACCGTAATCACCCTAAAAATGAATTTGATAAACGAATTATTGCTAATAAGATATTATCATTCAAATGTCTACTTCAGGCTAATATTACCGAATATACTAATTGAAAAAATTCAAGGCAAACAAACGAATAAGTTTGTTGAAAAATTTAAGTATATTTAATTAAATCCATACTTACTTCTTGTATTAATATATAATAATATGCAGAAGTACATAAGTATCTCTCGTGAATATGAATTACTTTTCCAATATCATATTTAATTTTCAATTCACATGTTTCGTTTGATATGAATTCCAAAATAGCTGACATCATCGAATTAGATATGTTTCCATTGGAATTTTTACCCCATCCCGCTATAACTGCATTTTTCCCGTATAAATCTCGATTATTTGAAAGTAAAAAGATTCCTGGTCTAATATCATTAATCATACTATCAATCTAAAAATGATATTTTTCAATTATGAATTACATTTATAAATAACTACATTTATAACTATATCGCCTTTCAACGGAATTTTCTATTCTTTATATCATTCACCAATTACTAATAATTTACCTTTATAATACCTATATCATTTATTTCAAACTGGGGCGATCTCGACTTGTATTGACACCAATCATTATAATTTATCCACCATGCAATATCATATTTCCTGCCGTTAGTTAATGTAAGCGATCCAGCATGAATCTTAGTTTCGTTTTTTATTATCTTTTCGGTACACTGTGCGGAGCTTATAACATGACATTTCGAGATAAGTGCTGCAGTGCAGAAATGCATATATAGAGGTACAGAACCGAAAGTCTTCAAATTCATAAGTGATACGATGTAAGGAAATTGTCCGAATGTTGCTGGCCTGACGTTACTACCAACCATGGCATTGGCAACCGGAACATTATACCAGATATCTATTAATTAAAACTTATTTCATTAATAAAACAATTGTGGTTTAATTAGTCTTTAAAAATATTTACTTTTGTATATTATTACTTACGAAATATCGTACATGTGATAATAAATATTGAAATATTATATTTGTATTCCATGCTGAAATGTAAAATTGAAGAAAATTAATACTTAGTTAAGGACAATATAACCATAACCGAAGTGAAATAATGAAGGTTAGTTGCTATGTATTTTTAAGGATGTTAACAAAAATTATCAATTATAAATTATATGAAAAACTAATGTAGTTTTCTTTAGAACTTTTATAATAATTTAGTTTAATCAATCATAGTATTTATTTTAATAAACTTGAATTAACTCAAATTATTAGCTTCTATTTAAATTAATGTATTGACACTGCGGAATATAAGAAAGACATTTCAGTATCAACTTTACATGTATTCTGAAAACAATGCAATACGTGATTTTAAAAACAATAACTGAAGAATGATTTACGAAAAATTAAGGCAGTTGTATACAAAAAAAAATAATAATAATATATATTAAACTATATAAAAAGATCAATGTACAAATAGATAACAACGAAAAATCAACTATTGAATTTATGAAACATCTATTGATTAAATTTCATTACTAAAGTAAAAAAAAAAGAATTATTATCAATATTATTAAAATGGAAAACATACATTTTTTAATGACATCATAGATGTTCTATTTATTTTCCAAATGAGAAATGTAATTTTACAAAATTTAATACTATTAATACTAAATTTTTAATACTGAATTATTGATAATTATTGATACTGAATCATTAATAATCGGTTTAACAATTGATAAATATAATTCATAAAGTTTTATACAACTTATTATAACTTATTATTACAAGAATAATAGCAACAATCTGTTAATTTTTACTATCTTATTAAATATTTCTTTCATGATAATTAAATATATAAATTTACCTTGGAAGTTAAGCGATTAATTGTTCATTAATTATAAATTTATTAAAAGTTTATTGAATGAAAACTTATATTAATTCGAAGTTTTGTTTAAATTAAAACAAAGTTATATAAATATGTCATTAATTACGGATTAATGTGATTATAAAACCCTTCGTTACATTATCGACATTCAATGAGAAATTCTACAAATATTCACACTACAGACCAAGTTTCAAATTTTATTTCTATTTATATCTGTTTCTTATACTTCTCAAATCGCAATAATTTATGAAACTTTTAAGTTTAGAGAATAATAATGAGCAGATATGGATTAGATACTTGTTGAAAAATATTCTATAAATTTCATTATTTGATTTATAACAATATATGTTTTTCCTTATTATGTTTACATACTCAATAAGTGTATTTATTAACTCAATATTGCTTTTTTAAAGTCATTTGTGAAAAGTAATTCTTATGTAAATGTAAATGTGTTTAATCATATTGTAGAATATTGTTTTAAAAAAAGCAGCATATGAATAAAAAACGAGTATTGAATTAATTAACATCCTACTTTTCTATCTAATTATGCTATTGGCAGTTTATTTTATAATAATTATACTTTTAAATTTTTGAAAACTGTTGGACTTTATAAGCTTTTAATAAAATAAGACAAAAATGTTCAATCTTTTATTTATATAAATGCATTTATATTGATTAAAATTTTTAAATATAAATTATTACAAATAATTTTTTATCTTTAAAATATCAGTGCCTAAGTGCTAGGAAGAACATTGATTTCATTTTTATTCTAACATTACTATTTAACTTGGTATATAATAATTGCGTTATTTATAAAGAAATGCTATGTGTAAGCATTCATAAATTAATAGAATTCTCTGAACTTCCTTACAATGAAACTTATCGTTTATTCATATAAAAGACTTTATCTGTTATCATTCTTCTTTCATAATTATAATTACTGTTTAATTGTAAAAAAAGAAGAAATTTTTAAAATATTTGATTGATTTGATGGCCGAAAAATATGATTTATATTAATTTACATTTGTTCATTGCTTCACTATTCTTCTTTCTTCTATTTTTAGAATTTTACAAAAATATTCCTATGATATAAACGAACTTTTAATTATAGATTATTTATAAATTTTTTTGCGTATGTTCTGTGAATATTTTTGTTTGCTTGAAGAATTTTTTCTCTTACTTCATCGCTTACAATTACTTGAAATATTAATTGACCTATTTTAAATTGTAATTAAGTTTAATTTCAATGTAACGGCAGCTAAATATAAAAATTACAAAACTTAATAATAATTAATTCAAGCCCGTTTCAATTAAATCTTAAAATAATCTGAATTTCCCTGTCACTACTTTTCAGTCTTTTAACAATTAAGTCAAATTTTAATATGAATAGAATGATTTACCATGTTGCATATTAAATAAAATTGGAACTGATTATTTCAATAACAAAATATTTAAAAACATTAAATATGATATAATCATTAAATGATAACATTAAATAATGAAGAAAATAATTTTATTAATAATCGCATAAAACTTAATAAGTCTAATTTTGTGACTTATGACTTTTATTAATGAAAATACAACATTTAACAATATTAGCATTTTTATATACGACTACAAAAATATACTCTTTTATATTTTATATAAATTGTAATATTCTTATAACGTAATTAACAAGATTGATTCTGTTTTCGAATCTCAAATCTTATATAAATAAGAAAATTTGATCGATAGACGCCAGTATTTAACTAAATAATACCATAATTTAAAATACTTTGTTATTTTTCAATTAATATTAAAAAGGGATTTTAACAATTCGTATAATGACATTCAGTAAATTATAAAATATTAATGTTTAACTTATTTACATTTTTTTCAAAAATAGACATAGATATCAACTAAATTACCTTATTCTCTTATCATAGTACTTAAACTATTAAATTTCAAATTAGAATAGTAAAATAAAATATTCGGTAACTGGACTGCCAGATATATTTTCTCTTAATTGAAATAATACTTTCATAAAGTTAGATATTATAGCAATTATCAATCTTTTCTTTTTTTTTTTTTTTTTTTTTAATAGAAATAATTATTAAGGTAAATAGTAAAACAATATAATTATAAACTACTTACAAATACTATAATTATAAAATTTTAATATTTTTCAAATTTGAAGCTAAACATATGAATGATTTTTCAATATAAATCTTAGACTAGCATAATTATTATATCATATTCGAATCAATAACAGATATTTTAATAATATGTAACAGAAGTAGTTAATTTATAGCAATTTTATACATCAGAATAAATAATAATAATTACATATTTGTTATCATAGAATTTATTCCATAATTACAAAATGACAATCTTGAATGTACACTTTAATTTTATCAACATACTTATAATGTAATTATTATTCATTGTCGTATAAAATTGTTCCTTGTCGCATAAGTAATAAAATCTCTTTAGTAATCAATTCACGTACGAATGTTAACTTTTATCGAACCAACAGATACATTCTGTGTGCAGTAATTGCTTTAATAATCCCTACATTATTGCATTATTGAATATAACTGATTCACCAATAATATCCTGTAAAACAATGAAATAATTCAATAATTGTGAAGTTAAAATGCAAATACGATTTATTGTGTATATGCATTTACTGTAAATTTCATCTATATTATGTTGTTAAACAGACAACTTGTTAAGTAAAATTTTTCCTTAAATTAATTATTTGAGAAGCATTTCTTCATTTTCTTAATATTAAAAAAAAAATACATATTTTATTAAAAATATATTTATATGAGAACGAGCAGCAGTAGAGTGGAGTATTTTATTAAAAAGAATTTTTTATCTGTAATTTATAGATAACTGAATTAATTAAAAAAGTAGTTAATATTTGCCTATATGTAGATGACAATAATTAAATATTTTTATTAATTATTTATAGAGAGATAACGACAAATAATCCTCTACGCAGGAAGTATGAGAGGGTGTTTTACAAGTTCACATACCTTCATTCATGTTACTGTAAATATTTTCTGTGCAATTAATTTTCAAGTAATTTAAAAATTGCATTCCTCATGTCTGAGTAAGACTTTCTATACTTCTCCTTCCCAGTGTTAAATAGAATTAATTTATAATAGCCACGTCGATGAATCTAGTAGGCTTACAGGAAATGAAAAATCTACATCTTTATCCACGTATAAATACATGTATGCATTATAAAATATTTATAAACTAATAAGTTACCTTATAAATATCAATATCATTCTCTTATATTGCATTTTGATTTGTCTAAATGTATCCCAGGCATTATAAATGTCCATCCACCATAATTCACTCTGTATTCTACCAATGATTAAATAAATACGTCTCGCCATAAATTGCAATTTTAGTTCTTATTTCATTTTCGATATATTGTGCCGCACTTGACACAGAATTTCTTGTAATAAGCCATGATATAAATATATGAGCGTTTGTGTGATCAATATTTTCGAAATTAAAATACGTTAGACATAGGATAATTGTACTAATAATGATACTAAAAATCTATACACAAAACTGAAAGAAAAAACTTTTATTAAATATACCCGACTAAACACATAATTTTTTGGTATTTGGATTACACATTATATTGTATGAATTGTACTTTAAATATAGTGTGTATATATTAATAAATGAGGAGATGTTGAATTCCATAAAAAAAAAAAACAATGAAAGATTCAAGAAAATATATACTATATTGAATAAATAATGAATGTAAATATCTTTTAAAATGTTATCCACGCATGATTGTAATTACAAAAATCCATACTTATAAATGTGTTTAATATTATTTATGCATTAACATGAGTATTTTAAATATATATTATAATTTTAGAATACATACTTTTTAAACAATTGTTTTCGAATTTAAAGATATTTTACTTGTTGAAATTGAAATTAAAATATCATCACGGAACATACTTAACTTATATTGAAGATTCAATAGCAGTAAATAGTAGTTTAACGATAAATTTATTTTCAACATTTATAAACTAATCAACTTTGCCAAAATTTTAACTACATGATATTTATTGAGATAGGATACGTCAACATACTATTTTTATATCTCGGATAATAAAGCACTGTTGTTTCTAAAATTACAACATAAATTATTTTTTCATCAATTTTGTATTTCTCTACGTATAGTATAAACTTTTTTTTTCTCTTCTATGTTTACTAAAAGACCAATAAATCGCATGACTTCGTTATTTAGTGGGGCAATATGTTTAAAATGTTGTTTAAATAGACTAGAATAATAATAAGGTTGAATAATATTATTAAATGTCAGCTCAATAGAAAATCTTTTTCATAGTCGAAAGATCTACACATAAATGTAATAATAAATAAACTTTTAATGAATTTTTCATAGCACATCAATATTTATTTATATTCTCCTTTAAATTGCACTCGTTCGCGCAATTCAATTTTCCATGTTATTTTTGAGTTTATATACGTGAAAATATAGAAATGATTCCTATTTTTATTAATGATCTAATGTATTATTTAATGTATTATGCATGTGAATTTATAAAATATTTTAATCTTTTATTCACTCAGTTTGTAAATGGTTTTAGCTTATAATCTTATAACGCGTATAAACATTTATGCAAAATAGTTCTAATTTAAAGTTTTATTTTTTCATCATTTGTTTTACATTAATTCAATGCCATCATATTATGTCGACAAATTGTTCACTATATCTTAGAAATTAATAGTTTAAATTATATAAATAAACTAATATGTGAAAATATGCTGACGCATAAATAGTAATTTGGAACGTAACGCGTCCCAGCGTATTGCAATCTACTTTATAATACAAAATTGGACAATATAAGACAAATTAATTGCTGTTTTTGCATTCCTAAAAATATTCAAATTTTCTATCACAGAACTAAGATTAGCAAATAATATTTTTTGAATATCTTTTTGTTATCCACGTGTTATAATATTAGGTTGTTTACATACATGATTTAACACCAAATTTCTAACGAGTATATCTCATTTTTACTGTGACATTTAAAAATTATGCAAAATTATTAGTACAAACGAGAACGTTTTCCAAAAATTTTAGCCCAGTAAACCATATCATAATAGAATTCCATTTTCTTATTAATTACAATATGAAATTATAAATTTTATTATAATTATAAAGCTATATTCTTCATTTTTAAAGAATAACACCTACGTTAGGAATATGTTACTTTTAGTATATTTAGAAACTTGATACTATTGTATATTAAGCTATAAATTTAATATTATTTTAAGATTGTTCCTAGATTCACTAAGTACATATTCTTATTCACATAATAATATGCAGTTGAAGCACACTGAATATTTAAAATTGTTCAAACAAAAGATCACATTTTATCTTTCTTTGTCAAAAATTACACAAATACGTCGAAGCAGCTAAACAAGGTTTGTATAATACTTTTAATCAATTTATTATAGTTTGATGTTATTGCTTATTATAATGTAACATAATTTTATCCAAATTAATTTCATCTATTGAAAATTTCCTGTTTAATACGTAAAGATTATATCAATTCAGTTTCAGAGATGATACAGACGTCACTTATTTTATATATATATATATATATATATATATATATCGATATACAGCTAACAACATTATAATATATTGATATAATCCTAACCTATTTACTTGAGATATAATAAATATCAGATTTATTTTCACATTTTTTAATTGATAAATTGCCATTAAATTGATGTATCACGAATGAACGAACATCAATGACGTGTTGGATTGACGAAATTATTAATCAACGAAAACATGAAAAACAAGCATATGGTAACAAATATAAACCTACATTCTAAAGGTGAATATTAAAATTTTAATAAATAAAATTATCATATAAAAAGTGAATAATAAATAGGTGTATGGTTTATGTAAAAAAAAAAAAAAAAAAAAAAAAAAAAAAATTTTGGTTATTGCACTTGAATAAGAAGGCTTACATAATACAATTTATATTATGTAAATAGTTGCAAAATTCACAATTTATGAAAAAATGAAAAGATGACAGTAACATTAATTTCCAATAATAACATAGTAAAGATGATACAGTAAATAGAATAATAAGATATTTTCCATTCATTAAGTACTGATTTTGTAGCAAATGCCAATTTCTTAAAAAATATTCCAAAATTTTTTTGAAAATATGTAAATTTAACAAAAAGATAAGATAATTGAAATACTTAAAGGAATTAATTTATATTAGAATTGTATAATTGTATATCTTAAAAATGCAAATATAATTCAGATAAGAAATAGCTTATTGAGTAAACATATATTTTAAAAAATTCAAATCTAACTATTCAATTAAATTATTTAAGTATTATATTTTTTAACAAAAATTAAAACTTAAATCTATTGATAAATTTAATATATATATATATAGTATCAAGCGCTCAACATGAGTTGTTGCATTAGAAATGACTAAGATAAATTTATTTTTTGTCATTTATAATCCAATCATATCAAGTGATAAAATTATTAAATATACTTGTAAACTATTGTTACTATTTAAAAGCAATTAATAAACATACATTTTGTTAAAGAAATGTATCATTACTATTATATGTAGAGTAGATCCGCTGAAAAAAAAATGAAAAATAATATACTTATAAATCAAATAATGAAAAGTATAATGAAAATTAATTGAATTAAATAGTAATATCACGATTTTCTAAATCTAAACCTTATCAATTTCTAAATAAATTGAAGTTATTATAACATTTTTATACGAGTATATAATTCATGGCTTCCAATAAATATCAGCAAATGCTTATAAACCAGTTAAATTTAACCTTACTGCGATTTAACAAATTTTTGAGATTTAACAAATAAACGAGACAGGTATAAATAATACTTTATTTTATTTTAATTATATAATGTAGCGAGTATAATTAAGTGATTTCTTATCAATTATGGAATAAAATATCTAAGATTATTAGTATTAATTAGTAATTAGTAATTAGCAATAAAATACTAAGATAAATGTGATTTTTACCATTAATATTAAGGATACGAGAAATTGTTATGTGAAAATTTGAATTCCTAAAACCGGTTACTTATGAAAAATTATAAATGATAGTAAATACTTTCTTATTTTCAATCATAATTCTAATGTTTGTTGTTGAAAAATGTATTATATGAGTTTTATATTTACGTACAGTGTAATATATTTCTTCATTATATAAAATTTCTTGCATTATTGGGAATAAAATCTAATTTTCCAATAAAAGTTTCTCAACTAACATTCTTAGTTATAGTTGCTTCCACAAAATATTCTACATGAATAGTATTTCGATTAACTTCAAAAAGACTTGATTAAATATTGTTAATAAGACATAAATCGAATAGTGTGTTGTAAAATGTATTAAAATTATTTAATATATCTTCATAATTATTGTAATTTATACTTCCCACTTCTCAATTGATTATTTTTAATTTCATATATTCAGTAAGGAATTTAATATTTCTCATATAACGTAATGTTTTTTGTAATTTACTGTTATATAATTGAGTGTGGTTTCTTGTGCAAATGTATAAATTCTAGTTTATCTTTATTAGATACAATTTGTCGGTAACAAATATTTGAAGGGAATAATGTCAATTCAAATTATATTACCGTTGATAATTAAGCTCGTCTCGTCATTTATAAAAATTGATTTGTAAATATGCATTTTAAGGAATTTTATGAAATATGCCTTAAATTTTTTTTACATAATTTATATTTAATGATTATATTTAAGTAATTTAATATCAATATATTCTTTTATAAATAACATGTAATATATAATATCCACTTATTGTCATAAAACTAATTTAGCATTAAGTATAAAATTAAATAATTTTAAGTAATATTTCCTATTCAGTATTATCAAATATTGGGATTTAAAATATTTATTTCTTTCCGAAATAAAATTGAATAACTTTTAGTTATAAAAATTGTACCGAATTGTATGTTCATGTATTGTTAATCTATTTTTTAAAAATCATATACTTTTTTATTAGGCTCTTAATAAAAACATCTTTATGTTTATCTTTAATTAATATTTTCCTAATTAAAATTATCAATTATATTGATATTATTCTATAAATATCGACATAGAATAAATTTATTATATCTAATTTATTTTACATATGTACACCAAAAGACCTGTACTTCTGTTAAATAAGGTTTGTTAGAATAAATACTTTAGTGTAGGTTGCACATATTGAATAATAGATTTTCACATTTTTTAAAAATATGTAATATAAAATTGTGAATCAGGTGGCTCTAATTTTTAAAAATAATTTATAAATTTTATTTTTTTAGTATGGGACTCAACATACTTTTCAGTGTATGCATAATATTTTGTAAGTTTTAATATTTAATATGAATAGCTTATAATTGAATTTAGTTTTATGTTATTTATCAATAGACATGTATAATTGATTAGATGCCCAATACGACTTTTCGTCTGTCGATGCCTTAATCGGACCAAATATTCGCCCAGCAGAAAGGCTAGAATTCCCTTTTATCGTATCACTGATACGCGTGAATCCAATGCGCAGTGAACCTTTAAACGATCACATCTGTACTGCAGCACTTGTCACAAACACACATGTTCTAAGTGCAGCACAATGTATCGAAAATAGATTAAAAGATGAGACTGTAGTTCTAGCTGGAACGAACCATTTATTCTTTGGTAGATTATACAGTATATCATGGTGGATAAACTATAATTCGTGGGCCCAATTCATGAACAAACGTATTGAATTTGAAGATAATGACATTAGTATTATAAAGGTAGTTTATTCTTAAAAAAAAAAAAAAAAAAAAAAAAAAAAAAAAATTTTTATGCTATTATGCTAAAAAAATTACATATATATTTAAAAAAAAAAATTGTTTATTCACTTTCATTTTTATAAGATTAATGGTTGCATAAATAATGAACGAATGCATAGCAACAAAATTGAATTTAAACGGACAATAACGATCATTTTATAATTAAAAAAAATTATTTAGTTAACCCGAGACGTAGACGAGGATATTACACCGGGACCAATTTTATATTTAGCTGGTAAAGATTTATATGGATTCGATGTCCATTTCGCTGGATGGGGTGAAACAAATAATCATCAAGTATCTTCTTACATGTTAACGGCTAGTGCATCAGTGATCACGTCCAGTGAATGTGAACATAGAATTGCAATGCTCGAAGGTGGAATAACACCTATACCTAATAATTTAATATGTACATCAGGAGATCCGTTTGTGTTATTACAACGTGTAAGTATTTATCTTATCGGATAAATTTATGTCAATAATATATGAATTGCAGAACGGCACCTTACTTTCACTGATACATTTTTCTTATCGTTTGATGAAAAAACAATTTACTTCAAATACCGAATATTAAACAAACAAATAAATTATTTGCTTATTTGAACTTAAATTCAAATATAATATATTACTAATTGTTATTTGAAATCAAACGAATAAGCTGCCGTTTCATACTTTTAATAATACCTATTCCTATATTTTCTAATTATAAATATATAATAAAGAATTGAGAATATATGTGATCAAATAACCAAATATAAAAGTAAAGCAAAAATTAATAATATAAATATACAGTTTGATTAATGAACATTAATTTTATTATCATATTTACTTCTCAACGTTATTACATTGAATACTACTTTTTTTACGTTGTAAATATTTAAATGAATGAGAGATAAAGACTGTTAATTATATGAAAACAAACGACCGATCAGATTCATAAAATTAATTTTCTTGTATTTTCACTTTTGTAAATAAATAAATTTAATATTTCTTTGTACCGATAACCTTAAAAAATTCTACTAAAAAAGTTATTATAAGAAATCTCTTATAAAATATTATAATCTTATATATAATATTATATATGATCAAGCTTTTCAATAAATCTTTAAATCTCGTTAAATATATACACACATATATGTATTTAAAGTATAAAATATATTTTTAATTTAAAATTAATGTTATCAATTCTGCAAAACCATCATTTGCCATTATAATACATATTTCTATGAAATAATAAAATTTGTTTCATTTTATATTTATGTGTTTGTGTCAAAATTCATTGATAATGCAATTTCAATTATATTTATTAACAAATCTTTTTTAAATGACTCGATAAAACTATAAATATAATACATAATATATTGTTTTTTAGGGTGATTTTGGTGGACCACTTTTATTAATGGGCTCGATTGTAGGTGTCGGTAAAGAAACTCGTCCATTTATAAATGACCATTTCCACCCAGAAAAAGTTAACGTTCACATAAATATTAATTATTACAAACACTTTATTCAGGATGTCATAAAACCGACTTTTATTTGGGCGTGAACAATAAATGCATAAAATAATTGAACACTTGTCAGTTGATTACGAAGTGAGCATTTATAATTTTATTTTAGATAATCAATGACTTACATAATTATGTTTGTATTTAAATTTATACAATTATTATGAATTAAATATCCTTATTAATAAAAATTAATAAAAAATGATTTATTTTTATGTAGATATAAGTTGATATAATTAGATATAACTTATATAGATATAATATTTATACTAATCGATATTCTAAACATTTAGCATTTCCCCTACCTTTAAACATTTTTTAAATGCTAATTTGTTAATTCAATTTTTTTAACATAATGCCGAAAAAAATATTAGTATATAATTAATAATATTTGTATATATTATTTTTGTCTCCCTTGCGTTATTTGTACCTTATGTTAATAAAAAAGCAAAATAAAAATAATTTAAGGCAAACTGAAATTAAATTAAAAATAAAAACATATAAAAAAAATATTATTCCTTATTTAAAGTATTGAAAATAAATATTATAAAAATCAACTATAAATATGTATTACATAATCGCTTAGACAATTTTGCTCCAAGTAGCTTTAATGCCAACATTAAATAAGATAATATAATATTAAATGAATATTTATTAAAAACTATTTTAATAACTTATCAGCGAGTCTATGATCTATGATAATTAAGTCTATGCAAAGATGAATTGTATGTAATGATTCTTGACCATTCTGAAAAGATACACTTTTTTATATTCGATATTTTTTAATTTCTTATTTTATATATTATTATAATATATTTTTTAATTTTTTAATTTCAAAATATGCTTCTGTTAAGAAACACCTGTAAGCATAACCAAAAATAAACTATCAACAATTGATAAAAGCTTCAATTACTTTGCAATCTTAATTCATTAATCATTAATCTATCAAATATTTTTTTCGAATTGTGATTATAGATATAGAAATATTATTTAATACCTAATATTTGACTTATTCATTATTATTATTAAACGTAAAAATTATAAATCAAATTAATTTATAACACAAAAATTTAATTGTAATATACATCAATATGAGTTATAATGCACAACAACGTATAATACGCGTGGACATGTGCCTACGCATGAAATTAAAAATAAGTCTAATTTTTTACTTTAATCGATAATAAAAATAATTAATATTAATTGAACAGAATAAGACGTATTTTTTCATAATTTCACTAAATAATGTTCTCTGGGTATATATAATATGATTCGAATTTAAATACAAGTTTTATGTAATATTTTGACTAATAAATATATATTTCTTCCTTAAAAAATTATTGGTCTTTGAAATTTTCAAAATAAATAGTAATTAAAAATTTATAATCGAGTATAAAACAGTTCAAAAGTATTTCATGAAATTGTTATTTTCAAATCTAAATACATACAATTTAAGGTTGGATAGTTTTTCAAGCAATAAGTTTCAATTTTTTTTAAATACTTTAATTAAAACTTTATTGTATTATATTAATATCTCTAATAATTTTCAATAATCTAAAATATATTCAAATGTCTATAATTGAATTCTAATAATTAAAAGTAGTAGCTGTAAGAATATTTTATTATATAAATAGATAGCAAACGTGTTTGACCATGTATATATATTATCAAAAAATATATATATATATATACATATATATATATATATATATATATATATATATTAGTGGATATGTACGTATATAAGTAATACCATGTAATCAAATAATATAGTAACAAATATTTTATTTATAAATTTAATAAATTTTAATAATAATAAACCATAGACGTTCGTTAATAATGATTTTACCAACAGAAGTGTCCAATTGTGTATTTGGAATTTAAAAACTTCAAAGCAATTTTGTTAATTAAATTGTGAAATTTATCATAAGCGGAGTAAGAGAATTAGACAAAGACATAAAACATAAAACATGATAGTAGTTGAATAAATAATACCGCAGATGCTGAGCTAATTTAGGATAAATTTGTTATTTTAGTGGCTTTAAGATGCTAGGGAATACGTATCTCTTTCTTGGACATTACATAATATTATGTAAGTCGCCAATATTTCTATAACTCTAATGTACATTAAAATTAAAAGTTATATATTTCAGGCGTCCAATGCGTACTCGCAAATGGAAATCCCATGATTGGGCAAAACGTTGAGAAAGTAAAGACAAATGAATTTCCTTTTGTTGTATCATTAATGCGCAATAGCACTGCCGATATTACTGCTGAAAGAAATCATATCTGCACTGGAGCTCTTATCTCACCACGAGATGTTTTGACTGCCGAACACTGCTTGAAAGGGGAAAAAAGAACTGACATTCTTGTCCTCGTGGATTCCATTGACTTAAGGAGTGGCAGGAAGCACCAAATTAATTGGTGGATAACGTATAAGACTTGGGCAAAGCAAAGACATATGTCTTTGGAATATAGCGAGAACGATATCGCCATTATAAGGGTAAATTCTCGAAGTTGCGGAACCTTTTGCGGAAACCTTTTGCGGAAACCTTCCTTTATCTCTCCTTCATTGAGTATTATTGTGCCCGAAACACTCGAACGCGCGGATAAATATGTGTTTGAAGCGCATATTAATACAAACCAACCAACAGCTTATCGACATCGTAAAAATTTCAGTCCTGTGTTATCAGAACATGTAATTTTAATAATACTTGGTTTAATCAAACCGAAAGGATGGGTTTTGATAGCTTGACATATAAAACTCTGTTAAAGCAATTGATTAATAAAATATTTTTAAAGCTGTTTTTATTTTTAAATAGTTATAAGTATTCTGTTATCAATGCTAAAAGGAAATATTAATCGAACATCTTTCAGTTGAATGAAGCGGTTACTCACAGAATCACTCCAGCCACAGTTTCAACCTTATCGAATTCCGATTTTGTTGGATATGATGTCGTAGTAACTGGATGGGGTCAATCAAACGATGGATTTAATCCAAGATATATGGAAAAAATTGATGTTAAAGTGTTATCGAAAACAAATTGTGAAAATAAAATTCAGATGGCAAGTGGAAAATTGGTTCCATTAGATTCGAGATTCATATGCACCAGTGTGACCCCATTTGGATTGTTGCAGCCCGTAAGAACTTAATTTTTAAATGTATAAAACCAGTTTCTCATTGCACTCTGCTATTAAAACTTTACTATATAGTCTATCGTGTCATTAATAAGTCTAAAAGTTGCCGAGATACTGCACGAATTGTTGTTTTTTTTTTCCTATGGTTTTCAATAAAAATAACTAGACTCGAATTTAAACTTAATCTTATTCGAATCAACAAATTATAGAATTGATGTTAACGGAGTTATAATTTTATTTTTAAAAATAACATATTTTCTAAAGTCTTTATATTTACTATTTCACAATACCCAAACTTGCGCAAGAATAAGTAAAATTAAAATTTTGTTTTGACAAAAAACTTTAAAGTATAGGACGTTGAGTTTTTAAATAATATTTTTCAAAAAGGAAACGAATCACGTAGACATGATTTATAAAAAAAACTACAAAAATGAAAAGATTATATTAACATAAGATATTGTGAAAACATTTTAAAACATTTATTTCTATCGACATAATATTTATATTGTAAATTTAAAAAAATAAAACGTAAATTAAAAAAATTCATAAATCCGGAATTTTAAACAAAATGTGGATAGGCTCATTATTATACTGAAAATTTAATTTAAAATAGGATTGTAATACGAAAACAGGTAAGAAAAACAAAACAAAATTGTTACTTCTCTTTAAAAAAAAAAAAATAAAAAAAAACGTAAAAGCTAATAAAACTTTATAATTATCTATAAAATATCGACAATGCATTTTGCGATTACAAATTTTGCACATTTCAAACACAATATTCAAGTGCATAGACATTTTATTCTATGATTATACTGTTATTTAATAATATCTTTATTTATTTTTAGGGAGATAGCGGTGGTCCACTGTTATATAGAAAAACAATCATTGGTATAAATAGATCTACATGTCCAAAAAATGTAGATAATAATTACCAAGTAAATCTTCATTTAAGTGTTAAATCATATACAACATTCTGTACAGATGTTAAAACAAATTCATAATAAATAAGATGATAAATTCTTTACATTGTTTAAGAATATTTTTCTAGATAATTGAATTAATTTCATGCTGCAATATAAATACTAACAATTCATTAAAAAAAAAGAAAAACTAAAAAATATAAACTAATTCCTTATTTTTATCTAGCTGTTCTTTCAAAATAATTGCACAAAATAAATAATATTTATATTTAATTATATAACTTAACGACCAATAATAGAATCGAAATTAAAATAATGCTAAAAATTAATTTTTACAATATTAATAACCAGTATAAACAATTAATTTTAATCAATGAATTATTTTACTCTTTGTATTATCTTTACATTGTCTATGTTTTAAATTTTGTAAAGATAGAAACTTGTGTTCGCTAGAAAATAATGTAAATAATTTTGTATATACTGGCAACATTCTTTTTCTATTACAATTGAAAGCAAACATCATTAAAACTTATTACTTAATTGAATTTAACGTTAAAAAGCAATAAAAATCATGTTTTGAATTTTTTATTAGCTTAAAATTATTTTTATTCGTAATACAAAATGTATAATAAAAGTATTTTATTTCATATTAATTTCAAAATTCTTAACTAATATTTAATGAAATTTATATCATGAAAAATATATGTAATAAGGTTTGTTTAATTTTTCAAAAATTTTGTATTTAATCATATTATTTTTACTAGATATTTGAATAAAATCAATACAAAATCAAATCTTTTATCAGATATTATCGTATTTCTATATTTTTCTAAATAATAATTTCTAAAAAAAATTTAATGTTTTAATAACAATGCAAATTGTTACATAAAAAATTATAACTAAATTCTTTGAATGTTTTAATATACTTCTAATATAATTCTAATTGATTTTTCATAATTTAATTTAATGCTAAAAAGGATTGATATAAATGCATGCATAAAGGTTTGATAAGAATGTAATATTACACTTATATAATTACAAAAATTAGATATAAAAAGTGCTTATACAAAGTTTTACAATAATATATTCCAATGTCGCGCTGTCATGAAATATACATAATGTACTTATCGACATCGTTAATCTAATTCACAATTGTAGAGTATTTATAAATCAAGCAATTTATGTATATTTCGATCAAATAAATCCTTTAATTGTATGTTTTAATAAAATATGTGTTAATACTGCGAATTGTATATTTATTATAAAGTTTTTAAACATTTCTAATAATCTTATATATATTATTAATATTAAAAATCTGACATGTAGATTAATTATTATTTAAGATTAGCTAGAAGATTAGATAGTAGTTGGATTTATTTTCTTACACGTGCACCAATGTAGTCAAACATAGATTTTAGTATGCATGTAAAATCTTTTAATGTCTTTCTTAATCTGTACGTATTAATAAGTAAGTATGAGAAATTTATTCTGTATATATTAATTTATAAGTTATATAGAAAATTTAGCTTTCATTAATAGTAATATAACTAATAAAAAATATATTTAATATCTTCATAATATATGCTAAAATATAGTATATTCTTTACTTCATAGAATACAATTAAGAAATTTTTTTATATGTATGTAAATTTTCTAAAATAAGATTTTAACATGACATTGAAGTGAATGATATACGATATAATCACCACGAGAAAGGTAAAACATTGTAAATAAAAATAAATATAAAATTGACAATAATTATATTATGTTCAATTTACATTTAGAGTATTAAAAATAATAATAAAAATTATATTTCAAATAAATATATAATACATCATTTTTATTTATTGGTTATTATAAAAATAAATTTTTTAATTATAAAACATAAAAATTGCCCAAATTATTTCATATAAAAAAAAATATATATATATATATATACATGAACTAAGCTATTGATATGTATAATTTAATAATAATATTATTCTCTTTAAGAAAATGTAATATTTTGCAGGTAAATATTTTAATTTTTCCAATACAACACCTATCATAGGAGAAAATGTTCAACAAGCAATAGAATCTGAATTCCCGTTTATTGTGTCTTTAGTGAGACTTAGTTCGAACTATTACAAACCGGAAAGAAATTATATTTGTGGAGGAGCTCTTATCTCACCTAAAAACGTTTTAACTGCCCAACACTGTTTAGAGGAAGAACGACAAATTGGTGTTGTAATATTAATTGGATCGGTAAACTTGAGACAGACTACGAGATATTATATTTTTTGGTGGAAAACATATTACGACTGGTGTGAAAGTAGAAGTTATCCTCTTCAATTTGTTGTAAATGATATAGCCGTTATAAGAGTAATTAAGTATTATAAAATATTACAAATAAAAATAGATTTATTATACCGAAATTGTTAAAAACATTTCATTTTCAAAACTATAAATAAAACATATTTTAGCTAATTTCAGAAGTGCCTGAAACTCTTGTTCCGGGACTTATTACGAACGTATCAAATGCTATTTTTCACGGATTAGACGCTGAGATCGTAGGATGGGGTATAACGAACAACGGAAAACATCCTAAAATTATGAACAAGGCCACTGTGAATATCATAACTATCGAAACATGTGAAGCAATAATAGAAAGACTCCATGGAGCAAAACTTGTTGTTGATGCAAGATTCTTGTGTTCCCTTGCAAATCCGTACATACTAATGGATAAAGTAAATATATAGAATATTACTATAAATTAAATAATTATATACTTTATAATAATTGAACATATCTCTATTATATTTTGTTATTATTAATATAAATGTTTAACAATTAATTTGACATTAATATTCGTTATATAAAAATCAAATCGATGTAGTTTTGATCTACATATATATCATAATTCACTTAATAAAATTCAATCCAGAATCATTGAATTCCAAAATAATTTAATAAAAACCATTATAAGAACTTTACAAGGTATCATAAAAAAATGTAAGAACGCCAGTGAATATTCAGTGTTAAAATTCATCATTTAAAATAGTAATAATTATGAGCAAATAGCATAATATTATCAAAATATCATACAAATTATTCGACAATCTAAAAACATCGATAAGTTGACAAAAATATTATGATTGTAAAAGACATTTGTAGGTGTATGCGTAATGTATTAAACTATTCAGTTTTTGTCATATCCCCAGTTTATTATAAATAAAATCGATTTTTTAAATTTTATTATTCTTTATGAATATCAAAAGAATTTCAGTGTTTATTACTTATATAGAAGAACTTGAATCACATAAGTAGAAGTAGAAGAAAAAAAGAAATAAACATTAGATTTTTAACTTGTTTGAAAACATTACAAACTTCTGTGATTAAAAACTTTGATTTGAATTTACAAAAAAAAAAAAAAATATCTCGTTAAAGATAAAATTTATATTTCAAGATACAAGTTTAATATGATTATATTAATAAATACACATAAAATGTTATCATTTCAATAAAAATTGTTGTACATGAATTATAATTTTCAGGGTGATAGTGGCGCACCAGTTATACATATGGGAAAGATTATAGGCATTAATAGATCAACAATACCATTACCAGGAATGCATTTTCATCCAGAGAAAGTAAATATTCACATAGGAATTTACTTTTACAGAGGATTTTTAATAGATATGATAGCACACGTTTAAATAAATTATAAAATTATTAATAAAACTGGCAATGATTGACATTTTTATTTACACCCATATTTATATCTAATATTTATGTCATATGATTAAATATAATATTTTATAATGCGTATGGAGCGTACTGTTGTGCATGTAGAGTACTGTTACAAATTGTATAATTTTTCATTAATCAAATTATTATCGTTTCTATTGCATTAAATCAACCGTGTAAATAATTCATCCAATATTCATCCAAAAGATGCGACTTTATAATTAAATTCACAAATAAAACAAATATTTATTTTATAATAAATAAAGAATAAACACCGATGAACTCTTTATTTACTATTTATAAATATAGTTACTAAACTGTATACTTTTATCAACGACTCTATTCTTGTAAAATAACTACTTGAAAAAGTATCTTTTTTTTAATTTTATCATAAAACATTATGCAATAATCTTTTTCATGGAGTACATTGTTGAATATTAGAACTAATTACAGAAGCCGTATTATAATAATAAATATGAGATCAATTAGCTCTCCTTACGCGATCCACTGAATCTTAATTTATCAATGGCATATACTGGCGAACGACCAACACACGCAACGAAAACAGGACCTGTAATTAATTTAATATTTATATTTCTCGACGGGTTCAACGTGGCATTTACCTCTTAATACCTCTTAATCGATTAACCCATTATACCTATTATACCCATTATATACTTACTTACACATTATATATAAAGATCGATCTAATGCATTTTCTTTTCGACCCATTATGATCATCCAATATACACAAGATACGCGCACTTAAATGAATCGATTTTATAAATCTAATCTCAAATTATGGCCTTTCTGTTCATTTGTATTTTATGGATTTTTCATATACAAATGATTAATCTTAGTCGATCTAGTATTTCGTAAAAAATAAAAACTACAAACGTAAAACTGTTTTTTTTTTTTTTTTTTTTTTTTTTAACTTTTGAAAATAATTTTTAATTGTATCCAATGAATGTTCACTCTATTAATAAGAAATAATAAAACTTTGCAAAGAAAATAATCAATAATTAATTTATGAAATTTGAATCAACTCATTAAAAATATTTTCCAAAAAATTAAAAATTTCACCATTCTTACATTGTTAAATTGTTTTTAATCTAATGAAAAAATATGAAAATTGCTTCTGTCTTCTGATACATATACATAAATATACATATGGAACATAAAAGTTCTTTTTTAGTAGAGTCAAATCAGCTATGGAAACGATAAAAATAAAAATAATATGTTTTAATTAAAGTGAGATTCAATAGTGTACATTGTTAAGGTTATTAAGTAAAAAGAAAAATGTTAATGTAGTTTAAGCCTTTCTAATTCAAATCTCATTTATTTTAAAGAAATGGATAACCGGACTTACTAACGCACTTAATTCCTATAAGCCTTCGCGAGTATAACAGGGCTAACGATTCCTAATGACTTTTTGAATTTACTCTTTTTTAATCTGTATTATGAGAATTTTCCAATCGATATGTGCGATGTTCAATGTAAATAAAAAGAATAATTTAACTGAAATTAAACAATTGCATATAATTGTGAGGAATTATTTATAAACTCTTAAAATTTATTAATGAAAATACGAACTGTGACAATTGCTTGAATTTCAATATTAGAGTAAAAAAATTAAACAATACATAAATTTAGTACAAATATAGAATCAAAGAAGACTAATGACAATAAATATATAAATAGAACACTAAATAGTGTTCAGCATAATGAAAAGAGAAAATATAAAATACGTATAAGGTAGATCGTAAAAATGAAAGAGAATGTTGAAAATAAAAATAAGCATTCCATTAGCAAATTAACTCTGTCGATAAATAAGATCTGTCATAAAGATTTTTCAGCTTACATGCACAGATCAAAATAATATGGGTCTTAATCGCTCGCATCAGAAATAAAAATTCTCAAAATATTTTCCCAAGGAGTATCGGCAACCTAAACAAGAGGTTTCCACGAAAACTGCATCAAATTCTTAAGTAATCATCTGCCTGAGCGCTCGCGAATGAACACGTCACTATTCGCGTCTCTCTTTATCGCGAGGAACAACGCTTTCAGCCTATCCCAGCGTGAGGAAAAGCGAGGAGAAAAAAATGAAAACACGTAAAGAAACCCGGCCTGGGGCAGAAAGGATTGCACTGTCTGGCTCCGCTGGACCGTACAAACGATTCGTTGAACACACGCGCGGATTCGTTTAGATTAGGATCTTTTCTCGAGCAGCAATGGATCCTTCTTGAATTCATCGGCATTGGATTTTATTTTTATTTTTTTTTTTACGATAGCTGATCTAGATGTGAGCGCGATGTTTTCTTTTTAAGCTTTATAAGTGTCGAATATACAAGCTTAAAATTTGCTTTGAATCGATAAGGATCATAATCCTAAATCCTTTTTTATTGATCCGAGTAGAACATGGATAGTTATTAGGATTCTCAAAGGCATCTTTGTTCAATGTGGATACTTTAATGCTCGTAATTTTTTCTTGCATTTAAAATTTAAAACCCAATTATAACTTTCGAGAATATGAGACTTTTTCGAGTATCTTTTAAAGTCTTCCTTCCGAGAAAACCTAATATTCGTAATAAATTTTTGTAAGATGAATGCTTAATACAGTTTTCAGAAATTTTAAAGAAAAAAATTGAAGTAAAATATGTCCGTGGGATTAACAATATAACTCTATTCAAATAAATGTTGAAAAACTCTTTGATTTTATTGATCATAATATTAATCGAATTTCATTATTCACTCGATGAAAAAATTAAGCAGCAAATGAGCATAAAAGCACTGTACAACCACCATATATCAAAAAAAAAAATAAAAATAAAAGAAAAAACTGAAATATCGGAAAGTAAATTAAATAGGATTTCAAATTGACATAAAAACTCGGTCAATATATAAGCCACTTATCAATCTTCTAATTTAGTCCACGTGATAGGTAGAAGAAATTTACAAAAGGAAAACTATAGTAAAGAAATTACAGCGATTGCCACAAGTAAGGATAAAGCTGGAATCTATATCCGCCGCGTTCAATGTCTTCGATCTAATTAGCAGAGAGGAGCGAATCTCCGTATTATTGAATATTGATTAAAGTGCTTTGCCTTAGTAGCCTTAGTGTGGGTATTTCGGGCTGTCGATAACGCATAACGAGCGAGAAAAAGCGCAGCTGTGCCCAAACAGTGGAAAGGAGGACGCTTTCGTGCGCAGATGCCATTCGCGCTTCGAACAAAGTCCTTTTATTTAGGACACGTGATACCCCACACGTACTCTCAGAGATAATAATTAAGAGATCGCGTATACCAACGCCATTTGAGGGGCTTAACAACTATACGCTCAAACGCCTCTACCCATCCTTCAAACGAATGTCTCTTTAATTTCTGTAATCAGCAATCTGTCGAGAAGAGAATATTTTTAATGCTGCACTTGAGCTTTGCAAACGCCACGTGACAATGTTTACGACTTCACTATATTTGAAATTATTATATTATGAATTTGTGAGAAATAAGCAAACATATGGCTAGTGCTACTACTGTAATCATTAAATACATAAAATAAAATAAAAAATAAAGTTGCAATAGCTAAGCAAATACTGAAATATATAAAAAATAATTTAAAAGAATTTTCTGTTTCAGTGCTCATGTTATTTTCTTAAATTATAAATAATTGATTTTATAAAACAAAATTTTTCGCTCATAGTTATAAAAAAAAACTTTGATATTTATAAGCTTTTTTCTTAATAACAGACATTTCACGATTAATTATAGCTTCATACGTTTTACATATTTTAAATTTGAGCCAAGAAAATATGTATTTACGCTGGTTTTAAATTTAAATAACGAAAAGAACGAAAATATTATCTTTTTAACATTCTTTATTTTTCCATATATGACATTCAGTATTAAATATTTAAAAGGACATTGAATTACATGAAGTGTACCTACAATATTTGTTGAACTTTATACAAACTAAATTCTTATATCTTATTAAAATAGTAAAGTATTGTTCAAGT